CCCCAAAACCCCAAAACCCCAAAACCCCAAAACCCCAAAACCCCTATTCTAAAGTGCAAAACTGAATAGCTATCTTTTCATCATAATAAAGATATTAATCTTCCAAGAATGCACCAACAGCTTCATCGACTCCGGGAGTGCTCAAAGTGAGTCTGATTCCTGCCTGAGCATAAGCGCTGATTTCTACCTCACCTGCAGAGCTAGATTGAACCAAATCAAGGATTGGTCTTATCATATCCAATGGTAATCCAGCTTGTTTCACTAGAGCAAAGACTTGTCTCAGAGAAAAAGCAGCCATTGGGAATCCTTCGTTACAAGAGGTTTCAAGTGTTTCAAGCATTTCTTCAGTTGTGTCTACTTCAATACTACTTCTAATGTTCTTCACTAAGAAGATAGCATGGGCAGCACTAAGAAGAGGACCAAGTTCTTCCTTTTTACTTTCAAGTACTTCTAAGATATTCGATCTGGTGGCTTCATGTATGTTACCTTTGAACTCAATGAGCAAAGATTTGGCTAAATGCTTGAAGAGCGGAGCATCATCAAGCATATCATTGAATGTACTTCCAAGATGGATAGAGAAGGAGCCTTCTACATCAGTGCTTCCATCTCCAAACACTTTAGATTGAAGAAGGACCTTATTCAACATCTCAGTGTATGGATTATCTTGAGCTTTGAACCCAATCAATGCCTCTCCATCTCCAGCATGGAATTTGAGATCTCCGAATTGGGATGCCATTTCTTCAATGGGAATTCCAAAGTCTTGGATGATCTGTTTAATTCCATCAATAGTCTCTTGAGGATCTCCCTTAGTCTTGATTGCTATTACAAAGAAAAGGTCATCACTATCTTTATCTTCCCAAAGTTGAGATCCTTGGTCTCTAATATCTTGGAGAGTTGGTCCTGCAAACAGTAACTGCCCTTTGATTCCGATTCCATCTTCGCTAGCATGGTTGAGTACAAATTTAGTATCAAGGGTGAGAAGGTCTCCATAATCTGAAGTGTCCTTGCCATTCATCTGATCAGCTGCTTCGCTGAGAAGTCCAACTAATTTCTCCATTAGTACTTTAAAAATATTATTTCATCTGCCTACTAACTGTTCGGGGTTTTGGGGTTTTGGGGTTTTGGGGTTTTGGGGTTTTGGGGTTTTGGGGTTTTGGGG